TAATAGTCTTGTAGTGGAGGCTCCGAATGGTGCTCAATACTCTAGGAATACTACTCATGTTAGGAAATACGTGTCGAATGCTAGTACTCCCATACAGGACGATAGGGTAGAAGGTACCGCGTCACCCATGCTACCAATGATTGAAACTGGAGCCAATAGTGGAGTTCCAGACAGTGATGTGTCAGAACTAGTTATAGATCCAGATGTTCAGGCTTCATCTGAAGATACGTCTCAGATGCCACAATCTTCTTTGACAACCCAGTATCGTAGATCTCACAGGCAAAAGAGAGTACCTGCTAAGTACTCTGACTATGTAATGGAGTAGAATTTCGTTTCTATTGTGTTGGAGATACAATGTCTTGAGATTAGTTGTTCCACAGTTGTGTTACAGGAATAAGTTTGAATGTAGTTCGGACATTGTATGTTATATGGCAAAGGGTTTATTGATCCAGGTTATTGTGTTCCTTTAAAGAAAAGAAGAGATGTAATGTTCTATTGTTGATGTATCGTTTTGGCAGGCAGGGAGGACGCTGGGGGATTCTAGGAATAAACGTGGTGGTTGAGTTTCACATATCTGCGTCCTCTAATTTATTGGAGTAAGAGTGATGTGAGGTAAAGATATCTACTCTAATTGATGCACTAAGAGAGATACAACAAATGGGAATATTGGTGTTCAGACTGTCTATTGACAAAATATTTGACAGTTCAGCTAAAATGAAAGACAATGAAAACTGCTTCAAAGGTTCTACCCTGTCTCTTTTTCATAAAAGCGTTTACGCATCACTTGCCTGTCATTTGCTTGGCAGAATCATCCAAAAACATGATGCCTGGCATCACAGTTGTCAATGAATTCTTGTGTTATGCCTTGGATGCTGATTTTTGCTAGTTCCTCCCGATGAACATGACAAATCATCAGATGATTGAGTCTTTCTTGGTTCATTGTACTACGGAGCCATGTCTTTAACCGCCTAAGGGCACTGAACGATCGCTCAGCTTTCGTTGAACTTGCTGGAGAAATTAGAAGGAGCCGCAAAAGAGCCTCGACATCTCCAAACATTCGTCTTACCTCTGGGCACATGGATTTGAATATCTGCCTATATTCTTCAACAGAAGATGCTTTGTAGTGGCGTCGGAAAAATGACAAATTCAACTGCAGGGTGTCCGACAGCTCTGGATATTTTTCAACAAGGTCTTGATGGTACTCTCCAGACAGTAACATTGATGCTAACTTGCTCTGTTGATCGAGATCCGTGGACGTGAAATACCTTTGAATGTTTGTAGAGGCACTGTCAATTAATTTGAAGTACTCGGTGCGATACTTTGCTTCACATGACTGATGAAAGTGATCCCCATTACCGGTATACCTGGCCGGAAGCCTGTGATGGCGTTCTTCAAGAGGACTCAGCTTCCACATTTCTGCCTTCTTCCCTGCATCCTCATAGATGGACTTGAAGATCTCGTCTGAACGAAGCATCTGCAGGTCTTCCTGTACAAGGTCAGCACCTGCAAGCATTCCCGATTCCAGGGCATTGCAGGGCTTTATTGAATTTTTCGAGACACTGGATAACAGGCAGAGCAGCCATCAAGCCAAGAATGCACCTAGCAGATAACAAACACTTTCTTAATCCTGTTGCTCGAGATGCTACTTTTGTCCCAAAGTCACGCGATGCTACCTCCAATGCCTCCATTGTGGCTCCGTAATTGTTCAAGAGGGCTACAACGGAAGCTGAACGGGTGAGCCAACGAGTGGGGCATATTGGTTTCAGTCGAGATGGAGATTCACGATGACTGCTATCCTCATCGTGTAAATGCAAGTACAGAGACTTAAACTTCCCGGAGCCTTTGTAGAAGGTGCCGAGCTCTTGTATATGGTCAAGTGCATCACGGATGAACTGGGCGCTCTCGACTGCCTTAGACACAATCAAATGCGATACATGGGCACCACAATGGGTGTACAGTGCCAATGGTTGAATTTTCTTTACTTCAGCATGACATTCATTGTGCATGCCGGCCATGTTGCTGGCACCATCGTAAGTTTGTGCCCGTAAGTTCTCCATGGGCAACTGCAATCTGACTAGCACATCTTTTAGCATGTTGGATATTGAGGCACCCGTTGTTGATGACAAGTCATAGACACCTAAGAATTCTTCTTTGACGTCAAATGAGTCATCTACATATCGGATGCAAACTGATTCCTGTTCTTTGCCTGAACAGTCTTGGGTGCCATCAATTATGACTCCAAAGTACCTTTGTTTCTTTATTCTTTCCAAAATTGTTCTAAGTATACTGTGGCTCGTAATTTTTAGCAGTTCGTTTTGACAGAACGTTTAGAAGGTTTTCCTGTCAAGCCACAACATTAAGTCTTCGTTGTGAGCCGCAAGAAGCTGCACAAGGGCTTTGAAGTTACCTTCTGCCGATTTATTCCCTCGTAGTGCAAGTCCTTGGTGTGCAAGATATCTAACTGCAGACAATATTTTGATCAGAGCCGTCTGGGCAAACAGCTGCTGTTCATCAAGTTTCTTGTTTATTTTGGCGAGCACATTCTCACCCTTTTCGCGTTGAAGCAAGTTTCCCACAGATATTTTGTGAGCTTCTGATTGTTCATGTTTTTAAACTTCTCAATTGCTTTCTTCCAGTCTTTAAAGCCAATAGAAACAAACTTGTCATGTTTGTACTTTGCCATTCTATTCAGATTACGCTTTGTTGCCTGTACACATGTAAAGCACAAAACTCCCCCAAGACAAGAATGCACGTGCAGCCATGGGAATGATTTATACCATGATCTCGGAAACTTCAGTGTTTTATTATTTAATGTGTGTCCAGGCAAACAAGAAACATCGTGGGGTTGGTTTGGCTTGTCAGAAAATGCCATGGATCCATTTTCGATATTGGATGTCCTAGTCTGACGTACTGGAAGAGGTGATGGAATTTCCGTAAGGGTCTGTGACAATGAGGTACTTCGTGCGACTGATGTAGAAGTTGCTGAGCTAAATGACGAACTCGGTGTTGAAGTTGGGGAGCAGCACGATGGTGGATTTGTCAAAATTGGGGAGCTTGGTGATGTACCCATTCCAATGCTGGAATTCATAGGACCTGGTGTAGACCTACAAATAAAACAGATATACGGATTATCTACATGTATGAATATTAAATCATTCTTAATACATTTGGTAATACCACTGTAACTTCAAATGAAAATTTACCCCATCACTTGCAAAACACTTGACTGTCATTTGACCCTGCATAATTGGCCTTTAATTTGATGATTTTGTCCTTTTTTATTTTCGCTGGCTTGCCCAAATTTGGGGGAAATTTTCTTGTATTTTCAGAGCCATAGCTTGCTATCTTGTTTATAAGATATTGCACTTGCGTGGATGGCTGGATGCACATACCGACAACACGAACACATACATGTGCCTCCACAGTTAAATGGCCTGAATTACCTTTTGGAAAGCGGCACGCTGAAATAGGAGTGGAGTGTTTTTTTCTTGACCGCCTTTCTTGTCTTCTTTCTTGACTTTGAACAGGATGCATGGAGATCTGTAATTAAAGTCATACTTGGAGTTAACACTATAGGACAGGGTGAGAAATTAAGGAGGCTTGGTAAATGTACAGGCTGGGGATGCCTGATAGAAGTTGTGCGAAGGCAAGATTGAGAAGGTTACAGACGTTTGAAGGGTAGGACGATTGAGTAGTAATTGATATTGCAGGGAAACTTAAGGAACGGAAGGACGGACGGACGGAAGGACGGACCGGCAGCGGCGTTGCTATATCCCCGTCGCGACTTCGTCGGCGAGGGGATAATAATTTTTTTATATGATATATGCTCAATGTAAAAATTTGAAAAAAAGTCAGATTCTTCTGTATTTTTTTGTTTTGTGAATTTCTTATGTGTTTCTTTGATCTTTCCATAGATTTTGCACATAAATTTTTAACAATTTTCGAACCGACCTGCACGTTTAAAGAGTTTAAATATCTAACTTCGTGACCGGATTTTGGTATCAAAACATGGACGATACATCAAAGAAACAACTTGTGAAACCGCGGTGCGTGATTTTTACCCGTTTCAAAATTATTGTGAAAATCGTCGAAGGGGGGGCATCAATCACCCCCCAGTCGTTTAAGGATATGTGACATGATTTGATTCCTACCATCTCCTGCAGCTTGCTCGTCTTCAGATGGCGGAGGGGAGGGACTAGCAGGTTCAGGTTCTGCAACTGTTGTTGCTACAATAAATAAAGGAGTGAATTATCTTTAGCATGTGTATGAATTTAATAATGTACTTTTATGTCAAAAGTGTTATGCAATTAAAGAAAAAAACTCAACATTGAAGATATCTGTACAACTAAATGTTTCTCGCTCCGCCAAGTATGATTTAAGGTGCAAAAGTAGCACATTTTGAAAAAATCTCTTTCTTAGAAAAAAAATGCTTCAGAATCAAAACGCCTTTACGAACATTAAAGATTCAAGTGTCATATAAATAAAACTTAAAGTGTTGTTCAGTTGTTCTATTAAATATCACAAAACAAAAGTTTCATGCCCTCACTTTTTTTTCTTTTCTTTTTGTAATTAAAGGTCAAAAGTGTTGCTTACTTTTTGAGACACCTATGTCTTGTTGCGTGTTGACAGATGTATCTTCCATACATGTGTCTGGTTGCGTGTTGACAGATGTATCTTCCATACATGTGTCTGGTTGCGTGTTGACAGATAGAGCAGTCAGATGAGAAAAACATGTAGGCCTACACTCATCTTTCCTCTAACGAACGTAAGATTGCACGATATATTACATTATATATAATGTTTTTATTATTTTGTTATCGTTATCTACATATTTATGTTTAATAATTACTTATAATATTACTAATATGTATATAATTAATGTCTATTGTTATATCAATTATTGTTTTGTTGTTAATGACTGTGTCTATGCCTACCGCGTTTCCACGGTGGTAGAACAACTCGCGGATGTGGCAGAAACCACTACGTTGCTGACCATTTTTATTGATAGATGGCGCCACAGTTTATTATGGTGGCCTTATTGTCAACAAATTTAATATGTTTTTAGTGCTTGTCACAACTCACAACATGTTTGTAATGCTTGTACAATGAAGGACCTACTAGCTGAAGACAAAGAAAGGCTAACCTTATTTAGGAGTGTCATTTCAACTGCGCAGAAGCATTTAAGTGATTTGCAAAACGATGTAAATCAAAGCAGTAACCATAGCCTGCATAGGTATTAAACTATTATTGACTACTGACAGCCGTATTGAGTATTGAATTTGTAATTCATTGTCTCGCACTGCTTCTGTGCAGTGTAGTCTTTGTACAAATTGTAGTCTGTAGTCTTTGTGATTTAATGGTGTGCTAGACTGCTAGTTATTTTGCTATTTATCAACAATCTGAAGAGGTAATGCTAGTACACAGGCATTTGGGTTCAAGGATGGCAGTGGCTACGGGTACGGTAGCCGTATCTTAATGTCTCGAGGCTACGGGTACGGGAGTCCATTCGCTTTCATACTTAACGAGACAAAGATGGCGGCGGTGGCGCCAGATTTCGAAATAACGCCTTGGGAAATAAATTCACGATTTGAGAGTTTAGATGAGCTAGAACCCTAACCCTAACCCTAAACCTAACCCTAACCATAATCCTAATCCTAACCCTAACGCCAAAAAGGGGCTTCAACGACCGACGGCTACCGTACCCGTAGCCACTGCGTTCAAGGATAGCGAACATGGGGGCTCGCGAGTCGCAATGGTCAGAAACGGCCGAAAACGGGCGGGTAGGGTCGCTTCAACGCATTTTTTTCGACACTTCCTGTTAACTCACATCATGTTTATCGGTTGAAATGAACAAACAACACCCTCACCAGTACCCCTGTCCATTTTAAAGGGGCTACCCCGACATTTACGAAAATGACAGGTTTCAATGGGCCCCATGTTCTCTATCCTTGAACCAACATGGCTCCCAATAAAACCAATCTTCCATACATGTGTCTGGTTGCGTGTTGACAGATGTATCTTCCATACATGTGTCTGGTTGCGTGTTGACAGATGTATCTTCCATACATGTGTCCGGTTGGGTGTTGACAGGTGTATCTTTCATACAGGTGTCCGGTTTGGTGTTGACAGGTGTGTCTTCTACACATGTGTCTGGTTGGGTGGCTGTCTGTGGAATTAGTTAGTTAGCATGAAATGATAATGTTATTAGTATTTTGATTGGTACCATATTTTTCCTAAAATCTTTTTTGTAAGGGATGATGGTGAAAGGCCATGTACAGTAGTGTATATATCAGAAGTAGATAATAGGACCCTATTATCTAATCGGGTATATATATATATATGAATGTAATGAAAGAATTGTCTTTTTTGTTTCAGGATGCTGTCAGTTTTGTTGAGATGACCAGAAAAAACACACAAGAAAGCAAGCAGCATCCAGATTCTACATGGTATTAGTGTTGGAAAAGCAAGGAGCAATTGAGGTTGAGCAAACAGATAACTATGATGACATCACATTTGGCAAAGGGAACGAATTTCCACAAAGTATTAGCATAAAATATAGCGTGAGATTCTAGTGTTTAGAGGGTGCAGTATTGTCTACTGCATACCATGTAAATAGTGTATGTTTTGCATGTTTAAGTTTTTGTGAAAGAAAGAAACACAGGAACATTGTTTTCTGCTTTGACATGGTTCATCATCCCTACATCTACTGATTTGCAGATGAATTTTTGGCCAGTTATTTGACCAAGCGTTTTATTATCAGCGTTTTTTTTCTCAAGAACCACAACTGAAAATAATGATACAACGTGAGTCTCGAAATTTCACATCCACTAGATGCAAGTCATGTACAGTTAACAGAGACACAGTTGGGAAATGAATGAATGTATTTTGGTCTATATGCCACTATTGTGATTGTAAAGAATTATTTGTTTGTACTGTGCCCCGCAGAGTATTTAATGTATTCCAGTTGGTATTTGGCTCTGCATTTTGTCTTGTGAATGTAAAATATAATTGCTGTCTATGTTATAAATACAGGGGCTGTTTATGTCCGTCGAGATTTTATATCAAAGTGTGCAGTTTACAAAGTCAGAAAAAGCGATTGTGCTGATTGACATTTAGCAATTATTTTCAGTTTTTCCACCTGTGCTGATAACTCTAGTACAGTCACATTTAAGTTTGTAATAATATACAATTGCATTGTAATCACACCAATATAATATTTTGGTTCTTCACATGTAGGCCAGAGCAATGCGAATCATTATTGTTATATTAAATCACTATAATAGTATAAATCCTTGTGATGTCAACTTGTGTGCTGTTAGTACGCGAGTAAGAAAAGCATGTAAAATGTAGCAGTTGTTCATTGTGACACATTGTACGATATATTGTTATATAAGTGTGTACCGTCTGTGCGATAGATAAGTCACTTACAATTTCAATAGGAGGCTATACTTACATTACAATACTATGTACTATATAATGTACAATGTACTATATAATGTACAATGTACTATATAATGTACAATGTACTATATGTAATATACAATACTACTATTACTACTACTACTACTATACATGTACTATACTTACATTTACAATAAGAGGCTATCGCAATTTTAATAACTTCATCACAGCTTTATTTATATTTTTCAAGAGAAAAATAAATGTCTGCCTTTACAGGACCTTCCTATTTCGTTTTCTGCTCATTGGCTTCATTGGCTTGGAGGGAGGTTACCGCAACGTGGCAGCACTAGTGTTCGGGTTAGGGATTGGGTTAGGGTTAGGGTTTTTGCATCATGATATCTGTCCCCACCAGTGTTGTAGGTCTCGAGGCCGGTCTTGGCCTCGAGACCGTTTTCCTTGGTCTCGGTCTCGGTCTTGGCCTCGGAGTGCAATGACTCGGACTCGGACTCGGACTCGAGAACTCGGGTCGATGCCACTATATACATAGTACACAACTGTACATATTGTAACACGCAGTTTACAAGAATTTAAAACTAAAACTCTTAGAATTTCTAGATACACGGCCTAATCTTGTAACGTTTTCAATGGCTCAATTAATAAGATTCTTGTCCCTTTGGTTTGAATCTGCTGTCACTTCGTCCCTTTGCGCCTTTTCTACCACTTCTTTCTCTTCTTCTACCACTTCGAAGGTACTAGCACTATCTCTCATTTGGTTCAACAAGCCGTGTCATTCTCGTAAAACAGAAATGGATCCGTTACTTTGACACGTTTCGTATGACTCGTGTCTCTGTGTTTTCGGCTGACTATGGCGATGTTTCATGTTTATAAACATTGACGTCATATGCGCCATGCCAGTTTAGCGGTTGGCTAGCAGCAGCGGTGCGTGGAATATTGTTCGATATACAAGCACAACGCACGCACGCACGCACGACGCAGTGTACATGCACGCACGCACGCAGCCGCTGTAGATGCAGCACACGGACGCACGGCACGCACGTTAGTACACCACGCGACGCACGCACGCACGTGTACGTGAACAGCATATCACAACATCTATGCACGCAGTGTACGTGCACCCGCACCGCACGTACGTTTACGTGCACTGCACACGCGGCGCACACGTCAAGCAGTGTACGTGCACACGCACGCACACTATGCACCGCACGGTGTACGTGGAGTGCACGCACGACGCATGTGTTAACGTGCATAGGCGATACGCGACGCGCCGTGTACATCAAACGACACGCAGGCGCGCATTGCATTACGTGTACCTGCCACACGCACGCATCGCACGCACGCATGCACGCAGGTGTGCGTGCACACGCACGGCACGTACGATTAAAAAGAACGTGTAGTGTGCGCAGCACGGGCGCCTTTAGCCGAACGCACGTGTAGTACGACGCACGCACGCCACCGCGACGTGTACGTGGCACACATAGCCGCACGCACCCGTATACGTGCACGCTCGGTTTAGTGCGCATGCAGGGTACTGTGCCAGCACTTTGTAAAGTGATCACGCGCGCACGGCACGCACCGAAATGTACGCTGGTGACGTGCACGCACGCACGCACACACGCCGGTAAGTTCAGCGAACGGCATGCACGCCGTGTAAGTTGACGAAGCATGCACGCAACGGCCGTCACGCACGCGCACACGCAGCGTGAATACTGCACAACATAAAACAGGGCTTTTATGCAGAAATGGTGGTCAGTATCGTAAATGTCGAGCCGCCGCTGTCGCTTCTTGCCAACTACACAATAAATACAGCGTGACCTGATCTATGAGCGCACGTGAAACATCGCTATACACTTTCGAATGTCTACGATGCACCTGTTGGATTTTTCCTTTTTCCCTTTTTTTTCGGATTTTTTTTTTTTTCCCTTTTCTCGATTTTTTCCCTTTTTCCGATTTTCCTTTTTTTAATCATAAATTCGGACTCGTCGCGGATCGGACTCGGATCGGGTGGTGTGGACTCGGACTGGTCTGGCGTGGACTCGGACTCGACTCGGGGGTGAGGACTCGGATCGCGACTCGGGGGGGGGGTGCGGGACTCGTACTAACAACAGGGGGGCGTCCCACACCATGATATTGTTTGTGGATTTTTGGACTATATATAGCGCTCCAGGTTATATATGTTTTAGGTGTTATGGTTATCGTTGGTGAAGTGTTGATTAGCGTTACCGGCAGAGTAATTGATTTGAAGTATTAGGTAAATGTGATACGTTGACCTCGCGCTCCACGCGGGTGATACGCAACACCAAGTGGTGCAGCGAAATGTTGCGGAATCCGCTGGCAGCCATCTTGAACAGAGGACATAGATCGGAGACCGGAGAATAGATGGACCTGTTCGGCCACCTTCACTCAGGCATTACCTTCGCTAACTGACCTCGTTTGTGCGTGATTGGAACTGTCGACCGGTACCGAGTCTACGGAGGAGTCAACAATATGTGACTTATTGTATCATTGCGCCGTTATTTAGGCCAAAGGTGGCGCTATTTAGTTCCTAAAGCCATGTATACTTATTGCGTGGTCTCTATGTGGCAGTGGAGTGTGGCTGGATAATCTTTGTTGAGTTTATATATTATACGTAGCTCTTAGACTTTACTTCTAGAATACACATATTTTGTGGGCGACGAGGATGGAGGAGGTGTTTCTTAGCCAGCCAGTAACTTTGAGGTTGGAAGTTTAATAGCTACAACGAGCGTAACTTTCACAGATGTCTGAGAGGTCAAGTAGCTGAGCACTTGCGTGGTACTGGAAAGATGCAGATCA